TGATTAAAGTGTTGCAAATGCAGATACAAAGGACATTGGTGTGATGCATTTTTGAATGATGGCTTAACTTGAGCTTGTTGAGAGTTTGTTGGAAAAATACTTGTTAGCCTGTGGTGGAGTAGGTAGTTGTAAATGCGTGTGAGTGAGTGGTTTTAATCGGTGGTTATGTTGCAGAATGTTTAATGAGGGAGTGATTGTTATAATGAATTCGTGAAGAGATTTTTATTTTTATTTCATTAATAAATTGTAGTGTTTGCAACAGTGATGTTTCATTGATGTACATAGTGTTTACATTTGATGTTGTGTGGGTATTAATTGACTACATGTTAAAAGAGAGTTGCTGAATGAATTTTTTGTGAATTTGTAAGACATGTTTATTGAAAGTACTTGTTTGGATTTCTTGTCAATTGTGCAAAATATAATTTTTGTTGTAGTGAAGTTTAGTTTCTTCGTGCATCTATGTGTATTGTGGTTTTAGAGTATATTTAATTGTATTGCACATTGGTTTCATTTAAATTTGTGCTTTGGGTAGGATGTGTTTGTCATTAACGAGTAGTTTGTCTTGTTTAATTAGTTTGATGTAGTTTATAGTAGGCCTATGTATTGAAAGAAATGTGTGATTGATAAAGAAGTACTGAAGAATTAAACAAGTGTACAGTTGCAATTAGGTGTGTCTTTTTGATGAATGCTAGGGGTACTTTTGTTTAGATATTGTGGAGGGTTGATTTATTTGTTTGTAAAAGGAAAGATGTGCTATGTAAATATTTGAATAATTTGTCATGTTTAGATTTTCATAGACAGTTATTGAAGTAACTGTTAAATGTATTTTTATAGTAAGTTTGTGTTATGTAAGACTAAGTACATATAAATATGCCAAGATGTGTAGCATTCTGAAAAGAGAAACATGAATAAAGTCATATCCAAAAGATGGGAAAAAGAAAATTAAAACTTAGAAATATCAAGTAGGTATGACAGTTTCCCCTAAGTGTTTCCTGTTGGACAAAGGTGTAGATAAAAATTGCAAGATGTTTGGTTTGATAATTGCCATTATCATTGTCATCATCATGATTTGTGAGGTTTAGGTGTGCCTTGTCCCCTGAAATCTTCCAGGTGTTTTCATTGTCTTCATCTCTTCTTTGGTATTCCTTGCTGTCTTGCTCCTGTGTGTTGGGTCTTAAGGGCTAGCTCTGGTAGTGTTTTTTCTGTATTTTGACATGTTTGAAGTAGTATTGACTGTGATATTTATTTATAACTTGACACTCCTTGAATGCTGTTGTTCATGTGAGCTGTAGTCATCATAGTGCAGGTTTGTGAAGTAGATGTATTATGGATGGTGCTGTTATTGTATTGTTTGCTTTGTCTGTATGATGAAGTTTGAAAATATTTTACATATTATCACAAAAGATGTGACTTTTATTGTGTTTAATTTTTGGCTTTTGTTTTTGAAGTCCACTTGTTGTTTAGTTATGTCTTGAAGGTAATGAAATCTCTATACTTTCCTGTGTATTATTATCTTTACTGTTTGAATTATTTTCTGCAAAAGGAGATGTGTGTTATGCCACATTACATATTGATAGCATATTTTTGTGTTTTTATTTAATTGATGAGCATATTTGTACATTGCTTTATTTGTTTGCATGCAAAATTTTTGTTTGGTGTTTGAGGTTGAGTTTTATTTATCAATTGTTTTTTGCTCAGCATTTTGTGACAAACTAAACTAGTTGGCTTAGTTGAAATTGAATATTGGTGAGAGTTGATATCCTTGTGTTAGATTGCTTGCAGATTGAAAGTGTTGTGAGTTTGGTTGCCAAGAATACTGTGAATTTTTCAGTTTTGATAGAAGGTTGTAATAGTTTCAATTAGTCTTTGAATTTGGATTTGTTTCTGTAAGAATTGGTGAAGGTTTTTTTTAAGTTCATTGTCATGAGGTCATAGTCTAGTCTGTAAGTAAAATGAGTATTTTTTTCCCCCCTCTGTAAGTGTGCATTATAATTTGATGAATAAATGTGACATCCATTATGAATCCAAATAGTTGTTTTGCTATGCAATATTGACTGTATTTGATAAATTCATTTTTAATTGTGCTGGGAAATAATGTTGGTGCTGATGGAGGGTTATTTCTCTGTAGCTACTGCAATACCCATGTTGTCTTTTTTGTTTGTTTGTTTGTTTGTGTGTGTGTAGTTTTGTTGTTGTGAATGCATGGGTATAAGTTTTCTGCGTATAATGTTGAATATGTGTACTACCAGGTTATGAAATTTGTAATTTGGGTGTATGTTCCAATGTTCATAAATGGCTTTGTGTATTGCTGTTTTTTTGTATTTTCTGCTGCAGTTTGGACATTTTAGAATTGTGTTAGTGGAAATGAATCTTGAAGTTGTTGATATTGAGGATGTTGTGCCATAGTGTTTTGTTTTTGTTGTTCTTTTCTTATTGTTTATATCTGTTTGGCCTGTGATGACTATTTGAATATTCGTGAATATTTTTATGTAAAGAATTTTTCTGTGGTTTTGTAATTTTATTTTTTAGTTATGTTATGTTATGTTATGTTATGTTGTTTTATTTGTATATTTGAATCAATAAATTAATTGAGAGATGTGAAACAGTTATTTTTGACATCAAATACTTAACAGTTCACATGACATGACCAATGGCATTTGTGTGTTTGGATGTCTGTCTGTATGTCTTATTTTTGGTAGATGTTTTTAGCATTAAATGTACTGGCAGTGTTCAGTAGAGCTATAATTAATGTGGTGTAAATATTTTTTGTTATTTATAACTGAATAACTTCAATTACTTCTGGATTTGTAATTTTTTACTAATACTACAGGTAGATATATACTTAGAACATGAGCAAGCACCCAGTTCTATTTGTCTAGTCTCATTTGTAGTTGTGTGTGCTCTCTCTCCTCTCCCCCCCTTGAGGTGTATGTAAAGATATGTTACTAAATAAGAAAGGAATGTGTTTGTTTGTAAAGGAATTTGTTGAATAAACACTTGACCTCATAATTAGTTTGTGTACTATGTCAATACACAAAGATGTGCATTATTGAGTGTAAGTTGTGAATGTGTGTTATACATTAATTAATTTCCTCCACATCCATCATGTTTCTGAATACTTACTCATTACCCACCTTTTTTTTTTTCTTCTTTCGTCTCTTCGAGCGTGTTCAGTGATTGACTATTGACTACATTGGTATTGCTTGAATGCTCAGCCAATTGATGGAGTAATTTTTGTGAGCATTGTCGTTATCACCTCTGCTCTTTGTATCTCAATTTGTATTTTAATAACTTCATGTATATGTATTTTGTTCAAAAATGGTTTTAGTATTGCTGTTTTAAAAATGTGAGGGAACATTGCTTGGGATTGTGAACATTTGTGTAAATGAGGAAATAGGTGGTTCCAATACGTAAAGTACAAGTGCAAGTGCAATGTTTTTATGAAAAAAATGTTTTCTTTTTGTGCAGAATATATGTTTGATAGCTTTCAATATGGGTGTAGTTTGATAAAGATGTAGGATTTATGTTTGGAATTTGAATATAGGTAATGTTGCATGATTTTTGAATATTTTAAGAAAGATTGATTGGTGAAAATGTTGGTAATTTTCTTTTGGCAGTTTGTTCATGTTTATTAGTACCAGTACAAAGTATGTATTTTGTCCATTATTGTGCATGCTGATATTTTTTTGTTAAGTAAATTAGTAGCTAACATTTCACATTTTGTTGTTTGAGCAGAAGCAAGGTTCTTTGGAAGACCTAAATTTTTTTGAAAAATGCTCTATATTGATAGTTTTGTAAGAGGTGAGAACTATTTAGTATGGATTTGTCTCTGTTTATACCTTTCATTAGTTTTTGAATTTACTCCATAAATTTACTTCAAGTAAAGAGGGAAGGATGTATTTTAGAAAGGGTTGTGTGTGTTTCAAAGTGAAGGTATCATCTTGACTTCAGTGTAATTGTTTTGGTACAATGAGAGAATGTGCATATTGTGTGTTGGAACTTTGTACTGAAGTTTGTTGTGATTGTGTATTTTATATTTGACATGAAAGTAGAATATAGTATGAATTCAGAAAGTTCATAACCTATGAGAGAATGGTGTTGAAAGTTAAAATAATGAACTGTGTTCATATATTTCAATGAATTAATGTATTTTTTTTTATGTTCACAGATGTGTGTAAAGAAGGTTGGTGTGTTTGAAAGAAGAAGAAAAGTTGTGGATTGTGTTTGTTTTGTTTGAAGATATTAAAATGTATCAATGAGTAAATTATGCTTGAAATAAATAATCTGCATAAATTTTTCATTTTTCTAGAAAATTTTTATTACACTCCTTAAAGAATGCCCTAATGATCCTTTGTGTTCTGTTAAGTTTTTTAATTTGGTTTTAATGATCCTAATGGCACAAGTAAGCTGAAGTGTTATTATTCCTTAGTGTAACTTTTGCTCAAATTGCATTGAATGTTTCCTACAAGTTCTTTTAAGTTTCCCAGTTGTTAGTGATACCCCTTGACTAAGTAGGTAACTGATTTAACTTACCATTTCTTAGCGTGTGCATCAACTTTTGTAGTTGAGTTTCATTGAATGTTTCCAGATTTATTGAAAGTCGCTAAGTTTTCCTTCAGAGCTCAAGTTCTGTATAGCGTTCTCTTGGAAGTTTGTGGCTTTGCATATACCATTTGCTTAGTGCTTGCCTGATAATGTTGGCCAAGTTTTAGTTTCAATGTTTCTTTCCTTTCTTCCTGTTCCTGTTTGATAGTTTCCTGTGGAGTTTCTTCAAGTTCAGAGTTCGCTCCTGTTCCTTCCGAAGTGTCCTTCAGCTCAAAATTCCTGTAATGGAATCTGCCTACATACTAACTTATGTTAATAGGAAATGAAAGAAGAGTGTAATTTAAGTACCCTTTATTACATCAACTTTCTCTTAATTGCCTAAAAGGGGGAGTAGGGGTAGCTGGCCCAGCCTGGCCGAGCCGTGCAGTGTGCTGTGTGCTCCTTTCGCTCCTTTCGCTCCGACGCTCCACGCTCTCACGGATTACCTATGTGCCACAGCCCCTGGCCGGGCCAGGGGGGGGCAGCTCACACTCCTCCACACAAACTCCTCCAACAGGATCTGCACCTGAAACAATACAAGTCAAAAAATTAGCACATACATTTATTCTATTTTATTTCTAAATCTTAAAGATTAGGAAACAAGGAAAGTTGTTAAGGAAAAAATAAAGATTTCACAAGGTAAGATTGAGGACATGGCAAAGGAGGGGATAAGCAGGTAAAAAGGAAAAAGGATTACAACTTACAAGGATTACCATTATACATGGAACACAGGGGTAGGAAGTGCAATCTCAACACTACAGAAAGACGTGGAGGAAAATGGGAAACCAACCTTACAGTCCAATATGACAATTGATTGGAAAAGGAGAAGAGGGATGTACATACTATTTTAATAAAAAGGTAGAGG